TAATTGAGATAAATTTCAAGTTAGCTGCTTGTAGTTCTGCCCAGCCTGGCAGTAATCTGCTCACTGAGATGGACTGTACCCGGGGTCGCTTACAGCATCATTTATTTTACTTGCCATTTGACCTCTTCATTGATGACCCCAGGGTTTTCTCTTACTCTGCTAGTTATGAATTTAAAAGGGTCTTAACATTCTTATCTGTTTTTTTTTAAAGAGGAGAGTTTTTATATATTTAGTTCACAATATTGTCAGAATAGGAATATTGTCTCTGCTTCCATGTTCTCTCCCCTCCACTACAAAGCAATTTTTAAAAGTGCAAGTCTACGCCTGTGATATTTCCGATCTCAAGAGCTCCCTACCCCCGAGTGGAGAGTGCGTCTGCCCAGTCTCCTGGCACTCTGGCCATCCGTAACCTAGCCCTGCTCTAGTCCTTCAGCCTTTCACTTTTCATGCGTCTTCTTGCAACCCAAAGGCGTCCCTGGGTCCTTTGTCCCCTGCTCCCCTCTGTCTGGCTCGCTGCTCTGACCGCTTGCTCTCTGCTGACCAATATCTTCTCTTTCCGAGGACACTCCTGTCCCCGTCTTCACGCAGGTTGACCTGACTTCTATTTCCTGCCTCTCTGGACCTTGTCCAGACTTTCTCACACTGTTCATGATACTGTATCTTGCTATGGTTACATGTCTATTTCCTTCTTGTCTGATTCTGATTCTGGGTTGCTTTTTTTTAAGTCCCTGGAACCCAAGCACTTAGCCCAGCAACTGCCATGGGAAGACCCAGGAGCTGGGATATCTGCTTTAATCCAGAGGGTGGTGGCATCACTCTGAGACCTCCCTGGAGCAGCTTAGGGCAGCCCTGGCTTCAAGAGCCCGAGAGCGTGCAGTAGCTCTGAGCCAGGGGAGGTGAGTGCCTGTGCTCAGAGAACTCTCAGAGTAGTTCTGAAGCAGGGAAGCTTCACAGGCTCAGCCGCTGCCCTGCCTCTGCCAGCTTCCTTTCATTCTGAGTCAGGTGTGGGACTGTGCAGCTGAGGACCGAAGTGCCCGCTTGTGTCTGCACAGGCACCCTGGGGTAGTTCCCTTTGAGTCTGCTCTTTGTTCTGGCTGTGAAGGTGGGTCATCAAAGAAGGGGGCCATGCCAGTACTAGGAAGGGCTGGCCCTGCCCTGCTGAGCATCTCTTTAATGCCAAGCTCAGTAGAGACACCTCCCCCCTCTCCTGCTACTGTGGAGGCCAGAGGCCGACAGGGTGTGAGCACGGACTTGCCACTCAAGCAGGACAAGAAGAGGAGGTGCCCATGAGCCACACCCAGGGCACAGCACTTAGGGGCTCAGGCAAATGTAGTTTGTTTTGCAACCTGCTTACTTCACCCCCATCTTGCAGGAGGCCTGTGAGCTGCTGCCAGACTGGCTTGTGAGAAGGGGATTGTAGCCAGGAGGAGCTTGGGCTGAGCTTGGGTCACACATCTAGATTTAACCCCAACTCTGCCCTTACCTGGCTGTGTGACTTGGCCTAAGTTGCTTTATATTTTGACAGTTGCCAGGCATCTGTACGCAGAACAGCCAGCACAGACTCTTCGTTCTTACCTGCTTGGCGACTGTGTCTTCCCGGTCTCAATCTTGTGGGATGTTTGCACTTACCTGAGAAAGTCTTTCTGTCTTTCTGCTTCTCATCCCTGGTACATCTTTGCCATGCCCTTTCCAGGCTAAATCAAAGGCTCTCTCTCTCTCTCTCTCTCTCTCTCTCTCTCTCTCTCTCTCTCTCTCTCTC